GGCCACACGGCGTCTGCCGCAGGCTTAGCAGGGCCCCAGGGGGGACACGCACAGCCTGGAAGGGCCCGCGACGTCCCGCGGTCGGATGCAGCCTTGGCGCCCGCCCGCCTCCTGCCGCCGCCGGCTTAGCAGGGCCCTCTAAAAATCTCTTACGCTTCAACATCTTTACCTCCCCATGGCTTGATCCTAATTTTTACAATTTTAAAACTTTTGTTATGTTTCATAAAAAAGGGCAACGCAAGGACTAATTAGCTAATGAAACTTCATATTCGTATTTTTGAAGACAGGAGTGAAGGACCTGTGAGACCAGACAAGGCACACAGCATACATTCGAGCTGGCACAAGAGCTATTGAATTGTTTTTTCAAGTCAATGTTTTCTAGGAAAATAAGTAAATAAAAAACCTGACGGAGAAACAGGAATATTTCAGCATGAGCTCCTATACATTCCATACATTCAGTGCAAAAACATCTTCACACTAAGCACGTAAACTACCCAGATGCTCCCTCTTCGAAGAGAAAAACGTACTTCAACTTTAGTGTTATTTTTCTAATAACTTAGGAATGTGCTCTCTAATCAACACTGAAAACTCTACAACAAATGCCTTGGGACAAGAATCCTGGGTTTACATCCTCCAGCATTTTGTTCAATTGTTTAATGTTTGCAGAGTTATCTAACATTTTACTATGTTTATTTTACTTAAACTAGATAGTTTAGATTACAATCATTCTTCAAGGGCCAGGAATGTTCCTTTGTATCTTTATCCATAACAACAGGTACCAATTAGCACTCAACTAATTATTGAATAACAGTTGCTTAAACACTTCTTCCTTCTCACTTTAAAGCAAGAGCTCACACGTGTATGAGCCTAAGTACAGTCCTTGGGTAAAGGAAGGCCTCAAACTCTGTCAGAAGAATCTACCCTGTTAAGATATCCAATTAGAGGAGAAAATGGAGAGGCAGCTAGAGTGGTGGGGAAGGTAGTTTATTAGTGAAGGGAGCAGCAGAAGAAAGCTACCTTGGTTTCTCCATTCTCCAACAGTCTCCATTGCCACAGGACTTCAAAGGGTGCCAGGAACAGCAACAGCACATAGAGAGAAGCCTGATCCCCACAAGGAGAGCAGGCTCGGGGGACGGCGACTGTCATATTGACTTGTGATCATGTGGATTCCCCCTCTGGGAAACCCAGAAACATTATGGGAGAGGAACCCTTTAAAATGGTGTGAAAAAAAAAATCCTTCCTTGGTGATTGGAGGCAAAAGGAGGACTTCAGCTTGCTGCTGTCATTGTGACCCCATCGTGATCATGTGGATTCCCCCTCTGGGAAACCCAGAAACATTATGGGAGAGGAACCCTTTAAAATGGTGTGAAAAAAAAAAATCCTTCCTTGGTGATTGGAGGCAAAAGGAGGACTTCAGCTTGCTGCTGTCATTGTGACCCCATCTGAACCCTCAGACTGGTGAAGTATGGTCCCGTTGAGTTGCTATAATATGGGGATGCCAGAGATGTGCCAGGGTGCTTTCTCCAGATGCTTTCGGGCCCTAAATCTATCTTTTCTACCCATCTCAATGATCCCAAAGATCTTCTCCAACTATACAAACTGTACATGAGTAACAGTTGGGTTTGCAAAGCCGAGTCAAACCTCAGCTTGTGTGACAGGTGTCAAGCCCAGTGCTTTCCTTTACACTTGCTGACACAGGGCTGACAGGCATAGAGGTGAAACATAAGGGAGATTGCTCATTTGTGGGGTTTACTGCCTTTAAGAAAAGAGTATCCAAAACATAGAAAAGAAAGGATGAAAACTTCAACATCTGGATTTGACTGGAATATCGTCTAATGGATCTACGAAAGAATTATTTAATTCTCCAGAAGAATGTATCCTTCATTGACTTGTCATTTAATATTGATTCTGTGAGACTATATACAAACTTGGAGATTTTTGTCCAGCAGAGATGTAAATGATTTCTGTTCGGTAGAAAAAAATAACTCCAAATAGAACAATTTCATTGCCAGGAGGTTGACTAGTTTCATCTCTAACTTAGCAACTCCATGTAGAATGCCATTCCTAGCAACTATATTATTCTCTGTTCATCAAAGGTCCTTTGAACCAGGTTATAGACTGGTTCCATCATTATCAACATATGTATTTTTGTCAAGGACTCACTGTGTGTGTATGTGTGTGTGTGTGTGTGTGTGTGTGTGTGTGTGTAGGCATCATGTTAACTTTTTAAAAACTATATTTGACACTACAACATATTGCAAAGGTTTAAATAAGAAGTGATATCACTTCAGTAGGGGGCCAAAACCAAGGCTGGGTTTCTGAGGCAAAAATGGCACTAGGGGAGCCTTGAGGGATGGACATGTTTTTTATTTGTTTGTTTGTTTATGTCACATAAATTAACCCATTTATTGTAGGCTATTGATATTCCAAATGTCTATGGAGCTTCTACCAGTCTTTCAGTTCCTTCTGTCTTCTGATGGCAGACTTTACTGTGACAGTGGAAGTGGTGGTGTAGGTCCAGGCACCACTGGCTACCATCTTCATGCAGGAACCACAGTGCCAGACCCCCACAGCCCGTCTCTCCATCTTAGTTTTGCCACAGAAGGAGCAAGTGTACTTGGTGTGCTGGCTGATTTCTATTTTCTTCACCATTTTCTGGAGGGAGGCACCATAGAGGGTCCTGTATTTACCGACGATGCCGACCTTCTTGGTGCATTTAGCCCTATCGCCACCAACTAGGTCGGAGCCCAAAGAGGCGAAGGATGGACATGTTTTCATCAATGTCTGCAGGGAGGAAAGCCATGTAAGCACAGCTTCAAATGCTTACACATTCACCTGTGAGGCTGACAAAGAGGAACTAAACTGGGTCATTTAAAAATATTTTAGAACTGATATAATCTTCTAAATAAAATATTTTTGAATAGAATCCAATGTACGAAAATAACAATATATTATGATCAAATAGAACTTAGACCAGCAGGCAAGCTAGGTTCAACATCTAAAGGTCTATCAACATCATAAAGTATATCAAGAAATTTACAGAAGAAACACCATGTGATATCAACAAATAAAGGAAAGAAGACTCAAAATGTTAAACTACCATTTTTATTAGAAACACTAAGTAAAATGGAAACTACTTAGATATGTTATTGCTCAAAAATCAACAGTAGATATCATTATAAATAATTTTCAACTGAAACCATTTTCCTCAATATCAAGAACTAGAGATGATAGCTACCACCATTATTATTCACTGTTGATAGCAGATAACACATAAGCTTTAGAAAAATTAAATGCCATGTAAAAATTATTAGAAAAACAAGGTTTATTGATTTGCTGACATGCTTATATTAAAAAGGTAACAGAAAATAAATGTGGATTTGTGAGTTGGATAGGTACAAGTTAATTTTTTCCAATCAATAAATCTTTTTTATTTAGAAATAGTCGCTGAGATATAGAAATAAGAATTTCTGGGACCGGCAGTTAGCATAATGGCTATGTCTCTCAACTCCCATGTAGCCAACTGCAGTTCGAGTCCCAGACCCGGTGGCTTAAACTCACCCCATTTCTTATGAACAAATAAACCTTGACTAAACAACCATGAGTCTGTCCTGCCCAGAAGCCTCCTAATAGAGTACAGAGTTCTCCTCCCTCAAGTGATAATGAAGAAAATCTTTCTTAAATGGCCTCCAATTTCTAATTCTTTCTTCTTGGTCCACAACTAGTTTGCAGCTTGAAAAGAGAGTGGCAGCACCTCAGTTTATGCAGCCTCAGTAAAATCAATTGAGGTAGAAAATGGGCTTTTATAGGTCATGTGGCCCCCAAAGATGCTTAGAAAGAAGGAAGCATATGAAGCACAATGTTGTCCCACTCCAGGTCACTTTGTCCACAATTGCTAACGACTCCTTTTCCTCTCGATGACAACATTCACTTTTCTTTGCTTTCTTTGTTTCTTTTTTTCTTTCTTTCTCTTCTTATTTTTTCTTTTCATTTTTTTAGAGACAGTGTCTCACTATATTGCCCAGGATGGCCTTGAACTTGCAATACTCCTGGCAGTCTCCCAAGTAGCTGGGGCTGCAGGATCCTGCCACCACACCTGGCTTTACAATACACATTTTTTGCTTAATTAAAGTAATGTTATGTTAAGCATTGTATCCTGTCATGAACACACTATTCCAAAATAATGGGTGGAAATTATTAATGTCTAAGGTAAAGAGTTCACCGTGTTAAAACTTCAATTAAAGTTTTGCAAAAGACAACTACAATTAATTTATTAAAAGTATACCACTGAGGACCAGCAGTTAGCATAATGGCTATGTCACTGGATTCCCATGTAGTTGATCGTGTTTCATGTGGCTTAAGACTCAGTGGCTTAAACTCACACCAGGCGCACGTGCGTGTGTGCCCAAGATCCCTAGAGGAAACTAGAGGAAAAGGAATTGCGGCATGGTCATCCCCCCTGGGGGAGGGGAGGAGATTTCTCACTTTCTGTCCCTCTGTCTGTCTCTTTCTGGTGAGTGCACGTGCCCTATAGCAAAAACCTCTCCAAAAAAAAAAAGTATGTCACCAGAGGCCCAGCAGGTGGCATAGTGATTACAGCACTGGACTCTCACATGGCCGACTGCAGTTCGAGTCCTGGAACTGGTGGCTTGAAAATCACACATGTGCATGCATGTCTAAAGTCCAGAGAGGAGAATGAAGGAGAGGGGACTGTGGTGTGGCCATCCCACCCAGCAGGTGATTTCTCACTTTTCCTCTCACCATCTCTGTCTCTCTCTCTCCGGCAAGCGTGCATGACCTATAGCAAAATCATGTAAAAAATAAAGCCATTACAACTTCTTAAACTACAACACTATACTCACCAAGGCATCTTCTTTAAATTATACTTTCTTGTTATGTTGTTTTTCTTTAATAAAAGAGCTCTAGCAACTTCAAGGGTCTCTATTGGAAATTAGCTTCAGAAAAATCAACCATTCACATAGAACAGTTAGAAAGGAGGCAAACAGCTTAATTTGCCTAATCAACAACTTTAAACCTTCATCTCAAAACCCATAACACTTTCAAATTCATTGAAAACAGTTTTGCTTGTGTTTGTTAGCTATGAACGGCGCCAGCTGAGTTTACAAAATGCAGTCCGAGCAAAGCACCCATATGGGACTAAAACAACAGCTGTTGTCTAAGCAACGGTAGTGTTTATCATACTCCATTACTAAAGCAAAAGACAATATAAAGTGTTTAAAGTGGATCAGCTAATAAACACCCGCTACTTACTGCTTCACCATCAGCACATACTTCACATCATAAACATCAGCTGCTACAGAGGACGTTTTTATTGTCCTCACTAAACTGAGCAGTCATCCTTCAAATTCTCCTGCTCTTTCAACAATAATCATTTACAAACACCTACTATGTGCCAGGCACTACTGCTTCCTGAGACATCCATATGCTTAACATTTAGTGAGTTATGACTTTTTATATAGCAAATCATAGCTTTCACATGTATAGTTTTATATGAAATACAGTTTCCTGTGATGTTAACCAGTATACATGTTCTTTAAATTAAGTCACATTTTAAATCTAATCCCATGATGCCAATTTATCTTAAGAAATACATAATAGCTCCTTCACCATGAACAATAGATTTACCTTCAGGTTAGCTGTCTTCTGAAGTCTTTTATTCAAGTCAATCCCAAACAAAGCTCAATACAAGTAAAAAACAACAATGTCACCATTCCAAAAGCAACTCTGAAGCCCCAGTGAGTGAAATGGACATCGAGTAATTATACTCTGTTTTACATACAATAGTTATATAAAAGCATGTGTGCTTACCACTGCAGGAAGGCAGATGGCTTACCTGTTTCCTGACTTTAATTTGCTCCTCCAGCAAGGTTATTGGAGAGGTCAGAACATTCAGCAATGACTCTGGCAGTGCTGGGAACATGTGGTTTCAGAGTATTTCCCGCTTCGGCATGAAGCATCCCAGGAAGCCATTAAAACTGTTTGACATCAGGAAATGACTGCGGTAAGATAAGCCTGGATGACAAATTAGTATCCTTTTCTCTGTCATACAATGGTCAAGCCAGCCTCCACTTTTGAGCTGCTTCACCATTTCCTGGACACCTTTAGAGAGCTCAGACAAACCTGATCCAAGCAGAACTCTAAAGCGCATGGAGGCAGGGTGTTCAACCTTGAGTGCATCAGAATTACCAGGAGTACCTCGTCCTGGCTTTTCTGAATCACAATCTTGTGGAGCTGGGCATTGGGAGTGTGCTTGTTAATATACTGCCCAGGTATTTCTGGAAGAGTTAATACTGTTTTTTAAACCACTAGTCTAGGACAAAAACATCTGCTCCCTAACGAACAGGCATAAGAAATGAGTGCTTCATTCTTTTCAGTAAAAGAAGTCAGATTGGTTCAGATACATCTTTCTGTAGGTGGATACCCAGTTTTTTCAGCACTATTTGCTAAAGAGGTTTTCCTTTTCCTACTGGATTGACTGGTACACTTTGTCAAAGATGAGTTGCCTGTATGTTTGGGGTCTTTACTCTGTTCAATTGGTCCTCATGTCTGTTTTTGTGACAATGCCATGCTGTTTTGATTATCATAGCTTTGTAATATATTTTGGGGTCAGGAAAAGAGATGCCACCTACTCCACTCTTCTCGTGCAGGATGGCTTTGGTAATACAGAATCTTGCATGGTTCCAGACAAATTTTGATTGTCTTTTCTAGATCTGTGAAGAATGTCTCTTGTAATTTTATAGGGATTGCACTAAATATGCCAATTAATTTGAGTAGTATTGCCATTTTGATTATATTAATTCTGCCAATCTAGGAACATAGGATGTCCTTCCACTTTTTTGTGTCCTTTTCAATTTCCTTTTTAAGGTTTTCATAGTTTTTCTTATAGAGGTCTTTGACTTCCTTGGTTAGTTTTATTCCTAAATATCTTATACTTCTTGTGGCTATGGTAAATGGGATTACTTTCTTCAGTTCTGTCTCTGCTTGTTGTTTGTCTATAGAAATGTTATAGATTTTTGTAACTTGATTTTGTACCCTGACACTTTACTGTATACATTCATCTGTCTCCATTAACAAAAATCAACTCAAAGTGAATCAAAGATGTAAACCTAAGACCGCAAACTATAAAACTACTGATAAAGAAAACACTGGGGAAACTCTGGGAGACAATGGGGGTAGGTAAAGACTTCTTAAGCAGGCCCCCAAAGCACAGGCAATAATCCTCAAAATAGACAGGCAAGAATTCATCAGATTAAGAAGTTTCTACAGAGCAAAGGACACTGTAATTAGTGCGAATCGTCAACCCTCAGAATGGGAGAGAATTTTTGTTAACTGTGGCTCAGATAAGGGACTAATAACCAGAATACACAGGGAACTCAAGAAGCTTACCCGAAAAATAATGATTAACTCAATTAAAAGATGGGAATACTATACATGTCATCATCAACAGTTAATAAGCCAAAAGATGGGAAATTTAGTTGAATAAACAACTCTCTAAGGAAGACATACAAACAGCCAAAAAGCATAGGGAAAAATGCTCAACTTCCCTCATCATAAGGGAGATCCAGGTCAAAACCACAATAAGATACCACCCAACCCCATTCAGAATGGCAAAGATTAAATGAACAAACAAACAAAATGATAAGTGCTGGAGGGGATGTGGTGAAAAGAGGAACACTCCTACGTTGTTGGTGGGAATGTAAATTGGTCCACCCACTGTGCAGAACAATATGGGGGTTCCTCAAAGACCTTCAGTAGAACTACCATATAATCCAGCATTCCAATCCCGGATATCTACCCAAAGGACAGGAAAA